CCTGATAAAATTCTATTTCACAATATAAAACTCTTTTAGTTTAAACATATTAAGATTATGAATTGATTGAGATTAACGATAGGAAGTAGAGTTTAAATCTCAGTATCAATTTTCACTCATCCAAATCCAACGATTTTAAATCTGTGTAAAACTCTTCTTTTCCTAATAAATATTTTTTTTCATTTTTTCTTGTCAACAATCTTAAATTTATGTAAAATTAAAAAAAATTACATTGTATACAAGTTTTTACGCAGTCATAACTATATTTCTCCAAACAAAACGAAATTTAGGAGATTCATAAATTTTATTATCATTTTTATAGTTTATATAGAAGAGGGTACGCCTTTTAATTTAAATGAAAAATCAAAAAATAATGAGCAGAGATAATAATTATCACGTAATTCAAATAATGAAAAAAGAATGACCCTTCAAAGAGAGCTCGGAGAAAAGCTCTCTAATAGAAAAAGACATCTATTTTGTACTTTAGTTGTATCACATAACAGTTTGGATAGGTAATCAAATATGTTTATAGATGATTTAGAATCGTAATGAAATTGGAATTTATTGAAAGAAATTAGTAATAAAGTGAATGTTATTTTTTTTGGAGGGTTCAATTTTGAACATAACATTGTTATAGGTTTTTTTTTTAATATATATTATTTTATAGTTATTTTGGACTATTCAAATAAATTAGTGATAAAAAAGAATGTTATTCTCTTTGAATGGTTTGATTTTGAACTGGTATAACTACAGGTGTCTACATTTTCATAAGTTAAGAAAAATTATGAATATATATTATCTTATAATCGTCTCAGACTATCCAAAAGAAATCATAATATTGATCTTATTTGTTCTATTTATTTATCATTTATTTAATTTGTTTATCTGCTAATGAGATAATTGACTTAAATTTTACATTTACTGTCTTATTCACTAATTATTAGGTTAGTGTGAAATTTTACAGTGACAGAATTGAAATAAAACGTTACAGTGTTATGATTATTCAGTACAGAACAACACCTGTATTGATGGAAGCTTGTAATATCATAGATTTGTTAAGCACAATGGAATAGTTTTGTTTTAGTGGAACAATATTTTCAGAAATGCACAATATAGGCTAATTATAGAGTTTAACAATTTTATTTTATTTTTATAAAATCTTGGGTGACAGTTATTTCGTAGAGTCAGTATGTTGGATCCAAACTTAGGCCCATTTTTTCCAAAACATCCGTACACGATTTTACTGACCACAGTAAAAGTGAGGGAAAAACACACGTCATTTTTAGCAGCAAAACAAGAGCAGTGGTTCATACCATCACCAGCAGAAGCAACGGTGAAAATGAATGTGAAGGCCATTGTCATTACTAATACTAACATAAATGCCAATCTAAAGCTATACAATTTACTGCTTAAGTTTATGGTTATTGGTTACCACTTCAATGCTTAAGTGGTATATTTATATTTTCTTCCGAGTTGGTATCCAACTTCTATTACGTGAAATGATTTTGATTTTTATGTGTTACAACTTGCGGGCCTCATGTACTAAGGAGTGACCGAAATTTTATCTTAAGAAAATTGCGTAATTACATGCCTCAACCACTTCGTATTCGATATTCTGTCAAAATTCGAGTTTTTCATTTTTAATCTATACTTCCTTTTCCGATTTCAATACAGGTTTAATTTTATTTATTGTTTCGAATTGTTTTCTAACAATTATAACATTTGACAGTGATGATGTTATTGTGACACGATAATTTAAAAAATAATAAATAATAAAGTATCCAATTTTAAATTTCACCGATGCTGATTGTTCATCGACTTGTTTTGCCTTTTATAAATGTTTTTTTATTTCTTAGTTAAATTATAATCTATTTTGTAAGAGTTTAATTTTTTGCATTTCTAAATATTTTTATCTTTAGTATTTTTTATAATTTTTTTTCATAATATTGTAAATTTTTGTTATGTTTTTTTTTATATATTTTTTATAAAATATTTTTGTTAACATGACATAATGTTTTTAACTTTAGTCGTCTATTTGAAATTTGAAATTATCATATGTTTAAGATATATTTTTATTAATATTCTATTTTCATCTTTTAAAGTATCATAATTTTATTCCCTAAAATTCTAGAAATTCGTCCCCATAATCTAAAATCTTTTGTCTATCACTCCTTCCGGTTGTTAAGAACTTTTCTATGTTTAATGTTATTGTAGCTCATAAAAGTAGAAGAAATAAAAATAATTTTAAAATATGATAAGATTTAAATTGTGTTTTACTCATAATATGTTTCATAGAATTTCATTTGGAATATAAAGATTTTCTTTTAACCTTTTTCATACGATTCTGAAATAATTTATCCTTTCATGGACATGATATTTTTCATTAAATAAAGGAATTAATAGCAACTATAATCGTATAGTAGAAATCCATCTAAAAATACCAAATATAATCCTTAAATAAGTAAAAACCACCCACCATCTGAGATAAGAAGAAACTTGTGGAACTCTAACTTGGTGGGTGTGTATCGGACGTAACATCCATGTTCTTAGATAATTGCACTATAAATCTTTATTCTTTAATTAACAAAATTTTCCTTTCTATATTCACTCCTGTTGATCTTCGTTCTTTACCCTGATGCAGGGCTATCTAACATGAAAGAGTCCAGGTGGCAACTAATTGTTTAGTACACGTGGCAACAAAAAATGAGTGCGGGAAGAAAATACCACAAGGCCGGTGCGGCTGAACCATTGGGAGACAAGTGTCGTGATCTGACGCGCCATATCAACCATAGTGACCCTCTATTGACCACCAACTAAAAAAGTTGAAGAGTTTGATTTGTGGTTCAAGTGTCGCTGAGGGCGGTAAACGAGCCGAAGCGAGTTTTAGTATTGTTGAATTTGATTCGATTTGAAAATTTTTAAAATGGAGTTTGATTCGGATCAAAGACTCGCGAGCCTAATTTTCAAGCTCCATTCCAACTCGAAATCATGAATTTAAAGTCGTAAAAGCTTGAAATAAAGAAAAAATTTTAAACTTAACCCGGTTGAAGCTTAAACTCGAGCCTGCATATTAAGTACATGAAAATATTATACTGCATTTTTAAAAAAATCAACATATAAATGTTAATATTATTGATAATTTATTTTTAAAATAAAATTTTAATATATTATTTTTTGAGTTATTAACAAGTCGAAACGAACTACTTGATACTCAACTTGAAATAGTCTCAAAAAATGAAGGAAATGGTTTGATATCATATAGATATTTGTTTCTTTACCCTCATGTGACCGGGGACGAACACATAACTTTATATTAGATAAGATGAACTTATAAAATTTTATGCTTAAAAAAGTTTATAAAAACAAATGATCTTGAGACCATTTCCTCAACTCTCCTAGTGCGTTCATCAGCCTGACATCATTCCGTCTTCTTCATTTCATACAATGAACCAACCTCAAATTCCATGGCCATCATTACCAATACCATATTGGATTCTGTTATTTAATCCTAAAAAAACATAACCCAAATCCAAAATGGATCTTAAAATATCCTTAAAGCAACAGGAAAAAAGGCCAAGATATTTGATGCTCCATTGTAGCTTTTGTGGAAGATCTTTCGGTAGCCATTTAACCGCCCACCAAATGGCGTATTGCCATTTATACACCTTCAATTCCATCAAGCTTTTCCATTCGGCAAATACCATGGATATTTATCAACAAAACTTCCATTATCCATACGCTGCATATAGCACTGGTATTGCTACACCAGTGTTTTCCTTCTTGCCCACTTAACTGCCACTAATGGATAACATATCCTACTTTCTAAAATCATTCTACCCTTTTTTGTTTTAGTTTTGGTATATCCGAGTTGTAGATGTTCAAATTCGAATCTTGTTTCGATCGGTGACAAACTCGGTTGATTTTGAGGTAAACGATGATAAAAGAAGAAGAAATGTTCGAAATTTCTATTTTATTTAGTTGTATGTACCATGGAATTTCCAATCCAAAATCCTTTGGAGAAGCATGCGTGTTGACATCACTCGCCACTAAACCAAACTTTATGCTTCATTCTCCATAACCTTCATGATTCTCATCCCAAGTGGGTCTCAATCATTTTCATTCATCCTCTCCCAATTAAAACGACCATGTTTTCCTTATTACTTACGATTCTGCCATTGAAACCCCATCACCTGGGGCTCTTATTGCTGCCTAACTTGGTTAGCTGGACCACCACTTGCCTCAGACCGGCCAACTTGGGGGAGACTCATTAGCTTGAATCAGTGAGTTGAATGCCATTCAAGTAATCATTTGGCTGACATTTTAATGCTAGCAGATAAGTTCAAGGAGTAATGAATATTGCAGACGAGAGAGCATGTTGAAGATAAAAGACAACAAAATGGTGATAGATGATTAAACGTACATTCTCTAAACTCGAACGAGAATCGAGTAAAACTATGTATTTGATCCGGATCCGAATCCGAATCCTAATGTGTCAAACACAAATACGCGAAGAGAATGAAAATTTCCTGCTGCAAGGAAATAGTGAATGTTGCATACATGTTGTCAACGACAGAGCCCCGTTCCATGGAGCATAATGCAGATAACACAGTTCTAAATGGCCTTGTTAACCTCAAAACTCAATGAATCGACTCGGGAAAAGATCAAGTTGCTTGCATTTGCAGTTTGCACAACCAAGTTGATTATCATCCCCCCCCCCCCCCGCTTTTCACCTACTTTATCTTACCGAGTTTTCTTCATTTAACTCAAAAGATCTCTCACTGAGTCAAAAAAGTGTTGTTTCTTTGTGCAAAAGGAATGATTGAGGAGTAATGACTTTCAAGTCCAGCTTACACACCAGCAAAATCAAACAAATGGGGTCCATTCTCCACAAAAGGATAAGGGCAACTTGTGTAATATTGTGTATGTTATAAGGGTATTGCCATTAACATCTTCTTTAAATACCACCATCACCTTTGCTCAACTTCCATTATATTTTCTTCTTTTACTGTGTGAAGTTTTACAAAGGCCATGGGGAATTGCTTAGTTGCAGAAGAGAAAGTAATAAGAGTCATGGAGCCTGATGGCAAAATACTTGAATATCAACCCCCCATCAATGTTCAACAAGTTCTATCGAACTTTTCCGGTCACGCTCTGTCGGACTCGTTCTCCGGCTTCCAGCATCTTCGACCCGATGCAAAGTTGCTCTCCGGGCAGTTGTATTACCTTGTACCTCTCCCATCACCATCCAAAAAGGGTAAGAAAAAGGTCCGGTTTTCGAATCCGGAGGTTAACAATGATGATGATCAAGGGAAGCCTGGTGTTGTGAGAATTAAGTTGATAATCAGTAAGCAAGAACTTCAAGAGCTGCTTGAGAAAGGAGGAGTTTCAGCTAAGGATATGGTTTCTCAGATACAAAGTAAACAAAACACATCTGATGTAAACTAGCAAAACATAACATATAGTAAAAAACAAGTGTTTTAGCTTTTGTTAGCTAGAATTAATCATAGGGATAGAGTAGATAGAATATATATCAAGTATACACAAGATATGAATGATGTCTCCTTCATGAAAATTTAGCAGATAAAATGATATAATCTGTATTGAATCCATGTCCCTTGTGAACATCCATTGATGTTGTCTTCATTTAAATGGATTTCCAATTCAATTCTTAACATCAATGACCTCCTTGATTACAAGAAATGGGCATCTATCGCCTAATTAAACAAAGTTAAACTGAGTATCAGTCACTCCAGCACATGCTAGGTCAATGAAATAGTAACAAAGGCTTGTAACTGTGTGTAATACAACAGTAATTAGAATAAAAGCTTCTTCTTTATTAGAATAATGGAAAAGCCAATATATTTTTGAGTTCTGGAACTCAAGAGATAGTACTTTTGATGCCCCAGGTTTTAGCACAATCCACCACATTTTAAAGAACCTAAATTCATCTAACCCAACTTGAGGCTTCTGTCTCATTCTCACCTGCCAAGTCACTAAAAGGGAGCTTTTCTAATTGTCATCTCACCTTAAAAACATGGTTTGGAAAGGGAAAAAAGAGGAATGAAAGCAACTTCTCCATCTCTTAGATCCTAACTGATGCTAAAATCCAAACCAGAATCATACTAAAAGCAATTCTAACACTTGTATATAGCATATATTCGAACCTTAAATGTACGAAATAACTTAAAATAAAGTAAACATATCCATATCTGAGTACATATTTATATCCAACACTCATACTAGGTTAAAATATTAAAATACAAGAACACTAAGAATGTATAATTACCCTTTGCATTGGTGATAATTAGGGCTATGGTGGTGCGTCTACTGCTCCACCCACGATAGCGTTGGTGCTATTACTCATAATTATAGGCAATTCTAGTATGAACTGAAAGGACAAGTCAACTTAAGCCAGTAAAATTTGCATTATGATACGGGTAGGAAGAGTTTAAGTGAGCTTTTCTTTAGCGTGTGTGGTGCATTAATCATGATACTCTTGAAATGCTTAACAAGTATTAGCAATCTATTTCCATCACCAATCACAAAATTCTCAATTTACTTCTGAGCCTGAGGAACAGCATTCTTTCCTTTCATAGTAAACTTTTGTGTGTGTGTGTGTGTGAATATACCATGAAGCATCTTTAGCCTAAACCAAAAAGAAAAGGTCATAGAAACAGGAAATTGAGACTTAAAAGCCGAAAGGGTCTGAAAAGAATTTGGAAGATGTGGTGAGGTGGGAAATGTGTCGGATGTAACTGAAAGTTTCATAGACAGGATCATTTCAGTTATCAAAGCTTTTGGAAACTAAACGTTTTATAAATGGAAGTTAGGTTTTACAGTGGAACCAACATGAGGTTAATTAATAGAATAACCACCCAGTTTTCCATCTTGATTCCCAAACCAATTTATATATATTGAAAAAAAAGGAGGCTAGAAAGTATAGAACAGGGCACTTTCTGAAAAACATGCTTGAAAACCAGCCGTCATTAATGGCTCATATCATGTCACCATGTCTGCCATAAGTGGCATATTTTGTATGGTCCCTTATCACCTTAGACTTGGCTCTTTCCTCATCCAGGGGATAACATTTAACAGTAATGGAGATAAAAGATAGAAAAATATATGTCTGATATCTTAATCTGCAATAAAAGGTAGTAATAAATAAATACAATAGGATTCAAAGATTTGATGATAATTACAACTGTTTCACCTTTTCATGGTAGGTATAACACATTAGAACCCAGAGATTGAGTCTTCCACCTCAAGAGATCCCGAAACACTCTCCACCATCAAGCCTGGTGGTCGACTGGAATGTTGTTAAGGTTCAGAGTACGGACTTGGTTTTGAATTACGTAAAAGATTTGATGTTGTAATTGATATGAATAAAATATATTATCATTATCGCCATGTGAAATTTCATTTGATTTTCATCAGTTGAAGTGGTCAACAATGCATGCAAGTGGTAAGCTCGACGTGGTCAATAATGTATGCAAGTGGTAAGTTATTCAATTTGGCAAATGAAGGGTCGAGGTTATTGCCTTGCTTTCTATTACCTAATATCATCTATGGTGTGGAACATTTCAAATGCTTCACTAGGCATATTTCTAATCAAATTCAACAAAACGACGTAGAGGGATGGATTGAAAGGGACGACCAGAGTGGACATTCCCCTTAAAACTTCAAATTATCATATATTTAGATATTTTTTTTTGTATTTTTTATTGATAATCTGTTTTCGTCCCTAGAATTTTATAAGTTCACCTCGTCTAAAATTTTAAACATTTATCTCCTCTAACATAAAATCTTACGTTTGTCCCTTGATGAACGATCTTGAGTCTAGTTTATGTTCTGGGGTGCCACAGTTTCATTGAGGAATTTCAGTAACATATTTACTAAGCCGTGAGCAAAACGCTGCAATACAATTTATTGTGCAGTTGCAGAAGTTCCTTCATGGTGAAATAATATATCTTTCAGGTACATTGGTCATACTTCATTTTTTATATTGTTTTGATCACTCCTCTGTAAGTATTTTAGGTCGATTCTATGGTTTCTTTCTGCAATTCAAGGCACTATATTGAAGATGTGATGCCTCCTATAACAATGGTGTATATAGCTCGGTTTGGGTTTCACTGCAATAATTTCAGGTTTCTCCAAGACAAATGAAAAAAGAATTTTCACAAGTGCTGTATATTTCCCCTTCAAACGTGCTCGACTTTTCCAACCAAAAAAGACCAGAGACTGGTTGTTAACCCCTCAAATCTCGGTCATCCTGTTATTATGAACATTGGCCATCAAATCACAATCATACAGAACCTAATCGTTCGATGCAAATGCAACTATGATGACAAAATGGGTTCAATCAGTTTGATGCTGCCATCAACAAATCTGAATAATAATTTTTTTTGAATGATTGTCTAACCAACTCATGGTTATGAAACAAAGCTGTTCGACCAAAACACATTTTATTGCAACAATGAGAGCATAGCTACCAAAAATAGACATATGCTCTGGCTCAATCCTCAATAACAAATTCAAAACATCCAGAAAAGGTCTGGTGATTTCATTCCTCTGATTGCCTCTGTCCCAACACTGGAATGTCTTCATATCGTTTCTGTAGTACAACAATAACGCCGAACTTACAAGTTTAGTAGATGAACCACATAAGCTCTGGAGATAATTAATTATTGCAGACAAAGATCAGTAAACATGCAGTCATCAAGCAACTGACACCAGAAGGCTAGATTATATCACATGGTTTAGGAAAATAAAGGGAAGAGGAAGCAAAAATAACTCATTTTTGGCATTACATACGGCATACATATGCACTCAACTGACACCAGAAAATAATAAAATTAGGAACACAACCTAAGAGGCTCAATATGAAATAAGTAACAAGTAACAAGTAACACCCACCACCACACAATGTACAAATATAAGGTGCAACAATTGTTGAACAGGAGTTAAAGCCTTCTACAAGAATTGCAACATCTATTTCATTTAGCACCCAAATTCAAAATTCGTGATTTTTAAGCTTGCAAGGTAACTACAATCATTCCAAGATCCTTTCTCAATAAAGCCTATCACAAGCAGCCACAATTTCAAAAATTTTCTGAAGCCGTGTTTCCCAACCCAAGCATCTAATAGCACTATCAAAACAATGATATATATTTGATCATAGAAAACCATAGAAACGACAGGTACGATATTACGACTATATTGTATACTCTCATCAATGCAATCAAATACGACTATATTGTATCCTCTCATCAATGCAATCAAATACAAGTCCATGCGTGTAACATTGAGTTCACAACCCAATTTGTCAATGATATTCCAAATAATCCCAGCAAAATAAGCTGCCTATGCCATAAAATTCACAAGAAAACTGAATTAAGATAAGAAAATTTACCCCAACATTGTTGTATTCCCAGAGCCTATGAACTCCATAATCTACAGCCTGCAAAAGTCAAGTCAATAATAATAATAAAAAAAACTTCATACTTCTTTTTCATTAGACTAAAACTCATCAACAACAATTAAAACCAAATAAACATCATTTACAATATAAAAACCAAAAAATAAAATAGCAATTATTATCATCGGAGCAAAAGCATCCCAATCAGAAATTAACAAACCCTAAACTTTTCCCCTACAAATCAACAACAAATTTTAAACGAAAAAGGGGATCAAATGTCTAAATCAATGAGATTCAACGCGAAAGAGAGATAAAATTTACGCGTTCGCCGAGGAAAGCACCGGCGATGACGAAGGTGACGTATACGGAGTTACGGCGCATGATGACTCTGTAGAGGCTTTCGAAGAGGCCTCCTTGACTTCTTCTTCGAGTGACAGAACCCATGATGATTCAATATGGTAAAGGAAGTTTCTTTTGCGGGGATCTGCGATTAAGGTTTGCAGAGATGGTGAACTAAGGGTTACTGGGTCTACCCGAATTATAGGGAATGCGCTTGCTGGGTCGACGGCTCAATTGCTTTGATTTTTTTTTTTTTTTTTGTTGATAAAGTACTCAAATTGTCCTTTACTGAGTTTCTATTATTAGAATTTATAAAATAATTTTTTAATTATAGAATATTATTTTATTAAATCTATTTATTATTAAAAATTATAAAATAATTATTTATATATTTAAATATTTTAAATATATATTTTTTTATTAAAATTTTAACAATAATATGTTGACATATAAATTGAAGATCGTTTGTGTATTTTATTTTATTTTAATTTTATTTTGGTCATTGGTCATTAAAAATTTAACAAAACTATTAATGTTAGATTTTTTTTATAATGATATGACATTATTTTATGGTAATATATTAATATAGTTTGTATCTTTTAATGATGAATGACCAAAATATATTCAAAATGTAATATTATGTATGATTTTAAAAAAAATAATTGAAAGATAAAATCCGATATAAGGGAATAGGTGGGTGACACAAGCTCGACTGGCTTTCCAGGTACCTGAACCTCGGTTCCAACTGAACTGTTTCTGATGATTCTTGTGGCATTGACTCGGGTGTTTCCTTTTTCATCGACTCGGTCTCTGATTGTGTGTTGTGACTCTCGGCTGCCCCCTTGTTTTCGTTCTACAAAGAATTAACAGTTAAAACTGATGAATCCCAATTTTCATTTACACAGGTATAATCTCATGCTTCGAAGCTTGATAGTCAATAGCAATAGCATATCAACAAGAACAGTGGTAGTAATTATTTAACTTTTTCTTTAATCTCTTTTTTACTTTCACTTTCTCACCCACCAAACAGTACAAAACCAGTTATAGTTCAATGAAAAAGCCAAGACAAATAACGCAATGAAAAGACAGGACTCTATTGAAATGAATGATTCCACCACCCCTGCTGCACTGATTTGCTGATATAGGTTATTTAAAAAATATTAGTTGAATTAGAGTATCGTCGAAATTATTTTTCGAGATATTGTGGATATTACAATAATCGAAGAGTCGTCGGGAACACAATACGTCTTTTGAAAAAGACGTCGGGAACACAATACGTCTTTTGGAAAAGACGTTGGGAACATAATGCATCTTCCTCGTTTTTTGCTGTTAAACAAAGTTAAAGACGCACTGGGGAAGGTTGAACAAAACTGAAGACGCATTATGTTTCCGGCGACTTTCGAAGTCGCACTATGTTTCCGGCCACTTCCGACGGATACTGTAACATTTACACTAGACCAAAAAATAATTTCGATGAGACCCTATTTCATCCAATAATTTTTTCATAACACCATGAGAGCAATTCAACCCCTGCTATAATAAAATCACATCAACCACTAAATCAATTGGTTTAGAGCATCAAGTAATAGCATATGATTCGATGCGACGAATATTAAATTCGTATTCAAGAGATTAAAATAAAAAATTAGAAATTTTAAGGTCTAATGACTGATGACAATCGATAGTGATTGGTGAAACTAGTGAGTAACAACCGACAGTGGATGAATTTGATAAGATTCATGAGTTAAATTGATATTTTATCAAAATTCAAGGATCAAATTGATATTTTAGTTAAAGTTTAAGGGTCAACTAGATATTTTATCTGAAGATCATGGATGAAATTAAAAACTAACTCATTTTACTAATGTGTTAGGTCATCAAATTAATAACATTTAACGTTTCAAAAATCAAAACATTATAAATTGATAACATAAGTGACAAAATAATAATTTTTATATCAATGAACAAAAATAAAATAAAAGTGACAATTTTAATAGTTTATCCATTTTAAGATATATGAAATTCATAATTGGTAGGCCTGTAAATGAACTGAACGTTCAGCGAACCGTTCATGAACCGTACGGCGGGAAGTTCGTTTATGTGTGTTTATTTATTAAATGAACGAACATGAACAAGATTTTGTGTTCGTTTAATTAAATGAACGAACATGAACATAGGTCTCGTTCGTGAACGTTCTGTTATGTTCGTTCATGTTCATTCATTTATGTTTAACCCAATCTTCTTAAATCAATTTTGGTGACCAATTTGTAAGTATCTTAAAAATATTAATTAATATGATATTCTGATGACCAACTCCATAATTAATCCAATTTTATTTGGAAAACCCAACAATATTAACATAGTTTAGTTCTTTTTGAACGATCCATAAGCTGCATACCCAACACCGTCAACATCCACTGCACCGGAACCCTATGTGACTGCACCACCAGCTGGTTATCCGATGAGCAAAGAGGAGTCCCAGAAACCGATTGCTTTCGAAACCAAGTCCAAAGGTGATGGATTCCGGAAGGAATGTTAAGTATTAAGCACCGTTTTTTCTACTCAAATAATCTTCTTTTCTTTCATATATAATGGAGTATTCGAATTTACAAGTAAATAGTGATCAACCAGCAACTCAAGTCAGCTTACTTGAACTCAAGACCCCAATAATGGTGAGGCCTTATTCCATAGGTTGAGAAGTTCTTTAACGCGTTTCATCAAACAAATTTTGTGCGCCATCCAGATATGGAAGTTTAGCCAGCCGAGAAAGAATGGTTTTTGATGTATGAGTTGGTGTGAACAATAAACCAACCTACTTCTCTCATATCCCAATTTTCAACTTCTACATAACACAAAGCTAAGGACATGTTTGTTTGATCCCCAAGGATTAAGGTCGGCAATCACATGAAACACAATTTGTGTTCATCTCGACTGTTGTTGAAGGAGAGAGGAATAAAGAAAGTGGAGGAACGTTATGCAATCCCACATCAGTAGCAAACAAGCAGCTCGGGGTTGGTAACTTATATAAAAGAAGATGGGGGATAATAGGTTTAAGCATCTTTGCGCTTGAGGCAATATCGAGCTTGAATCGAGCTCAGAATCGAGCTTCAATCGAGCTCGAGTCTCGAGTTTTAATCGAGCTCTTAATTTTTTTTTGAGTTCGAGCCTTTTCGAGTTCGAGTCGAGTTTCAATATTATATTTAGATTTCGAGTCGAGCTTGATAATTTTAAGCTCGCGAGATTTCGAGTCGAGTCGAGTCGAGCTGACTTTGAAAGTTTTCGAGTTCGAGTCGAGCTCAACAATACTCGAGCTCGACTCGGCTCGTTTACACCCCTAGGTAGGGTCTCCAACGTTTATGTTCGTTTATGTTCATGTTCATTTATGTTCGTGTTCGTTTATGTTCGTGTTCGTTTATGTTAGTTTATTTATTAAATGAACGAACATGAACAAGTTATATTCCTTAATAAACGAACATGAACAAAAAAAATTTGTTCGTTTATGTTCGTTTATTTATTAAATGAACAAACATAAACATACCTCCGTTCGTGTGCGTTCGGTTCGTTTACAGGCCTAATAATTGGTATACCTATGGAAGTCACTTTAAAAAATTGTTAGTGATATAGATCCCTTTTGTTTATTAGAACTTTTAAGGAAGTAAGGAACTCATATCCTTTAGACCTATGAGTATTATAATTTCTGAATCAATTATATTACATAGACAAAATATATTATAGACTTATATAATCTATTAAAATAAAATTAAAATTTAATATCTATTTTATAATTTTTTTAAATTTAATAATTAAAAATTATTTTAATATAATTTATTGATAACATTTATATTTTGCCAAAAATAAATTAGGATAAATTATATATTTAATCCTAAACTATCAATTTTGATCCGTTTTAGTACCTAAACTTTTATTTTTTTTCAAAATGATACCTAAAGTTTACTTTTTGTTTCATTTTAACATCACTTTGTTAAAAATTTAACGCGTTTAGTACCTAAACTATCAGTGTTGATCCATTTTACTACTTACATTTTCATTTTTTTTCAAAACTTAAGTATGATTTAGCTGCTAAACATGTTTTGGTACCTATACTTTTATTTTTTTCAAAACTTATCGACAGAATGCTAAAATGAATTAAAAACTAAAATTTAGGTATAATTTTAAAAATCAAAAGTTTAAATACTAAAATAGATCAAAATTAATAATTTAGATACTAAATACGTAATTTACTCAATAAAATATCATACATGAATTTTACGAAAATTACTAATCTGAGAAACGAGGTTGCCACAAGTGCCCCGCGGTTCTCCGGTAATCGCGGGCCTGAAGGCTGCGCGCGTGAAACCCAACTCTTCTTTCGTCAAAAACAGTTTCACAGAAAAGCGTAAAATATATTAAAAAGAAAACCTAAAAGTAAAGTTAAAGTAGTATTTGGTCACTTCGCCGATTTCTCACTTGAAGATAATAATCGAATCCAGAAGAGGCAGAACTACATATTTTTTTAGTAAATTTCCTTGTAAGATATTTAATTGAATGGACTTGTTAGATGCAAATTTGGAGCTCAACGAGATTCAAAAGCTTCAAGGCCACACCGATAGGGTTTGGAGCCTCGCTTGGAATCCCGCCACTGCCGCCGCCGATGTGCCAGCGGTTTTCGCTTCTTGCAGCGGAGATAAGACCGTTCGAATCTGGGAGCAGAGTCCCAGCACTCGCTCCTGGGACTGCAAGGTCCTCTCTTACCCTCTGTTATTGATTTCTACTTATTATTATTGTTGTTGTTGTTATTATTATTATGCTGAAAATCTTGCTAATGGGAAGTGAAATTGAGTCAAGCTAGTTCAGAAACTTATAAAGTTCTATTTCTTGCTGCTTCCCCCCCCCCCTTTACATATAAGTTAACTAATATAGGGGATAGTAAAAAACCTTGCTGAAGTCGGTTGAAATTTTGTAATTTTCGTCTCATTTTTCTTTTAATATGAACTGAAATAGATTCCATATTTGTTTAACTATCTTGAAGTATTACTTTATGTGATGTTTGCTGGAATTCATGTCAATTTGGAGTGTGATCTTTTGCAGGCTGTTTTAGAAGAAACACATACTAGAACGGTAAGATCATGTGCTTGGTCACCGACAGGGAAATTGTTGGCCACTGCTAGCTTTGATGCTACCACTGCTATATGGGAAAATGTTGGGGGCGACTTTGAATGCGTT